CGTCTGACCTCACATGATCAAGCACTCCCTAGCTCAGCAAAGTGGAAGCTAACCCAATTCTTCAACCATTTCTCTTAAACAGGTGGATCCAGACTGAGTGAAATCCAGCGACAATAGTGTAAGGTCACATAAGGTCGAAGGTGATCCCGTAAGCTATCATCGGATTAGTCACTTTATGCAGAATTGTTGATAGTGCTCTTCGCTTCCGAATCTGTCGGTATTCTATGGAAAACGGACTAACCAGATGGAGCAAGTGGGGCTAAGCAGCACGGGTCTATCTCTCAGGAGGAGGGCCAGAAGGTGGAATTATTTTACCTTAACTTCCTTGTTTAGTGACAAGCTAGTTCAGTCAGGCTGGTTTTCAGGACAGCTTGAATGGACACGGAATGTGTTTTACTCGCATACAGATCAACATCTTTTACACGGCTAGGAGGTTCTTTAAAGAATACTCCAGATTTTAGACTTACTTGCTGGTATACGAAACTCCCTGCTAAATTCTTCCGGGCTGGATCCATGTTCATTCTCAGCCACAATTCCAACTGTCCAAGAAGCACATAAGGCAACATTTTGAAAAAGAATGTGACTTTGATCAGTTTTCCGACTTTGAATCGGAGTGGATCCATTGTACAAGCTGACTGAAAATTTTGAGTTGACGTCTGAAGTTGGCGTAGCCCATGATACGTTTGCTTGTGGTTGGCCAGGTAGAACAGATACTGTGATGTTCATGGCGTTTTCTGGGACTGCATGTGGGAAAAATAATTTGAATAATTAACCAGGCCGATCAATAGGGTTAGACCGGAAGCTACGTCCAGAAGGAGAACTTTATTACCGAAATACACTCATTTGAAAACTAAGTTGGTTGTTCCGGCGGCTCACCTGGAACCCAGCTAAATCGCTCGTTTGTGATGTTTTCCAACTGCGCCTACCTGATGAGCCACAAGAATGGCGAAACCCGTCGTGGGCTGTCGGAGAATTTTCAGCGACCTTATGAGTAGCGTATTACGTTCAAACTTTATTATCGGTCATGTTAAATCCACACCCTAATACTTCATTCAGCCGTGTAGTCCTCTAGTAGAGGCAGATCATCATATGAGGTAAGCACACAAATTAACCCACCCATTGTGGAAAAATAACAGATTCCAGTGGCTTTTAGAAAAAGAAAACGCAAGAACCCTGGATGCCCCGAAATGCGACGAATTTGGTAACTGACCGATAGGTTAGACTGGCTACGATACACGCAATTCCCCATTCAATGTCTGGGCGTTCGGTGCATCCGTGAGATTGCCGCAAATGTACTAGGTAAAATTAAATTTGACCGAATCCGCATTTTCCCCACCGATGGTTTGAAGTCCATGCTGCGAAAGTGAGTTGCACTTAGGGCCAACATCTTTCAGCAAGTCGAATATGAGAAAACGTATCACAATAAAGAGAAAATGCCGGTAAACTGAGGCACTTAAGGATCGAGGGCTATCTGATGAACGGCCTCCTTGACAGTAACCTGTTCTTATACTTTTTCCTCAAAGGTGAATAACCTTAGTGGATAATATTGGGACGTGTTGGTTGAGACAACAGTTAATGGTACACCACGACCACTCTAGACTCGCCCATAGCGAGATCTATCTCGCGTTCGACGACCTATTTCCATATCCAGATTTTACTTCTTCACATAAAGTACACATTATTGCTTTGATTGTGAATCGATCTTTCAAGCCTATAAGAGCTCTGAAGTCAAATGGCCCATATGGAATTGGCGCGCAATTAGAAAGTTTGTGCTACATCATTGTGAAAATAAAATGGAGGCTGATAGCGCAATAATTAGGCCGGCAAATGGGTGGTAAGCCCGCCTAACAATAATTTTCAGCCGCCATTATCCTGTATTTCTTATTGGGCTTTAAATGTAGTGCGATGAACTAAACGTGACACAGCAACGGACGGCTACCGATGAAGAGAAGAATGCCTTCGCTGCGGAGTTACTTATTACAAAACACGAGTTGAGGAGTCACAGACTACTGGACAGGGAGGCAAAACTCCCATAAGCACCTCGTTTATAAAAAATTATGTATCCGTCTTCTTCTCGAACAGGTCTTTCTGAACTTTCCTGGATACTCACTGACTATCGCTCAAACGTAGGCGGATACTACAAAGCGATTTCACGAATTCCGTGATAAACCTCACTTTTCAATAGATGCGATGCGGATTTATGAGAGACCGACGTACTACTCGCATGCTTCATCGGTAGTATCCACTGCTACACCGGAACTGACGAGAGATATAGGCTAGCTGATGCATGATGTGATCGTTTCATGTTGCAGTGCTGCTGCATTCAACCATTCGAAATCACAAAATTCCACGCAACTACAAGCTGTAGATCGAGAAAGCCACACAAACAGGGACATATACTGGGTCAATAAAGCCGTTGAAACAGCGTATTTTTCGAATTTTCGATGAAGTTTAGAAGGTTGTGGAGGACCAAGGATAAAAAACAAAGACTGCACGATGTCATTATTGGTAAACTAAAAAAATGTTACGCAGGATCGTCAAAATCTAAATAAACCTATAGAGTCGCGGATTTCAAACCTGGAAATCTATACGCATTTACCTGCAGGTATGGTGAACAGTGTGCTGTTTCGCTGAGGTCCCGAGCCAATCTCGTTGTGTCCAGTAACACCAACCAATAGGGGTACGTTCATCGGCAGTTTGGGGATTTGCACATTGTGGCTGCTTGTGTCCCAGGTACCCAACTCCTGTCCGGCAAGATTGTATACCACAACGCTGAACTTGTTCGTGTCGCATGGGTTATTGTATCCCCATGATACGGTCACAACGGCCATGTTCAATTTCGTCTTGACATCCAATTCACCAATCAACCCTGGAGCTAAACGAAGGCAAGTAAGCGGATTGGGACACGTACTTGGTCTACACAGTTTAGTTTATTTTCCCTTTGTTTACCCTACAAATGTTTCATTTTTAATCACCTACCCATAGTAGTTACGAATCTAACCTTGTCAGGGCACGAACGCTCAAAAATCACTCAGCCCTGCACATAAAGTTCCACCCAGTAGACCCGACGGCTAAAGTTCATGACATGCTCCTGGCTAGGTGGACGTGTAAACGTGGAATCATCTTAGAAGGGTCAGAAACCGAAATTCGACGGTTTCTTTGGCAGTAGTTGTAAATAAGAGGAATACACATTAAGGGTAGAAGGGTCATTTCAGGCAGGCAACAGTAGAACCATCAAGGTTTCAGAGCATAGCCTGAACCCAATCAAGTAGCGTGTACTGGCTTGCTTTGGTCCGTTTCGCGAGCTAAGTGAGTTGAAAATCAACTACGAAAATGTGCTACCAGACGGGGATTGTTGTGTCCCTCTCTCATAGTAATTTTTGTCGAGCAGTTAGGATAGTTGGATAATGTAATAGCCTGTCTCACACTAATGGAAGGCTTCCTCGAGTGCATCTTTTGTGGATGAGCATGTTTCAGGTGGCAGTTGGGTTTAGTGTCGCCGGACCCCTGTCGATCTGAGTTAGCCTTGTGGCTACGAAACTACCAGATTGCTGTGCCATGATTACTGGTGATTTCTCTGAGGTAAATCGCTATCTTATGAACCTTGAAGTGGCCTTCATATTTCATATCTGCAAAATTATTTTCTTAAAAATGAGTTGTTTGCAGTGAGAGGGAAACCTTTTATCGTGCTCGTCAAGGAGTGCCATCTGCTCCGGGCGTAGTTCGGTCAATTTCCAATAGCGATATTTTCAAGGTGGTTCTGTGTCCATTCAGTATTTTGACAAATCACTGTTTATGGAATATTCTTCTCATGGTCTCTTATTTGTTTGCTATTGAACAAAATGTTGTTAGCTCAGCAAGCAAACCAACGGTTATCTCTTATTCAGCCTGGATCAAACGACTGTGTTTGTTACACACACACACACACACACACACACACATCCGCCGTATTCTGTTCAATCATTAGTGAGTAGGCCTTTATTGTAGGCCAAATCAGTAATTCAGTAGCTAACGTGTGATTTTTGTATCAAACGATTTCTTAGTATGCAGCAATCTCAAATTCGCTTATCTTTAGTCGTTACGTTGAGTTTGTGCAAACGGATTGCGGCACCAGAGGTAAATGAAACAGAAAGTCCTTAGCTTACCGTGTCTCTCTCCTGAGGTTTTACTGACTGACGCTGCGACGCCAGCGGCTGTGCGCGTCACTGCTGTCTTTCGGTGGCTTATGGGGGAAAACCATATGAAGCAAAATAGATAGTCTGCACACTGAGGGTGGGTAAATACATGGTAGACAGACATGTTACCTGCGGGTATGGTGAACTGTTCGGAATTGGCTTGTGGTCCATCTGCAACCTCGTTTCGTGCTCTAACGCGGGCCACGAGGGGCACGCACATGGGAAGACCAGGCACATCCACTTTGCGCTCAGTCCTGACGACAGACTCTACAGACGATCCATCTGGCTTGTTGATTATCACTTGAAAGTTTGTCGCAGAGCAAGCACCGTCATATTCCCATGAAACGGTTGCACTGGGAACATTGTTGGTTTTTTTCACCTGAATCGCGGTTGGCACCGTTGGAGCTATGGGGAACATGATTTTTTAAAAAAACTATTCAGTTGATATCGATTGTTTACGCTGTTAATTCGGGACCGAAATCGATTCAACCGAAGAAGCATTGCGTTACTGTCATGTGATTAAGTTTGTTGTCGACTGCAGTTTCCAGTGTGAGCATAGTTTAAAGTAAAGTAAAGTAAAGTTTAAAGTAAAATAAAACCTGATCGTGGGCATTTGCCGTGCATTATTTTTGTACAATATTCTTCGTTCACAAACTGCTAATCGATGTGGCTGCTGAGGATGAGTAGCAAATTCTTAATGTAGTAAATACGAGAACTGATCACTGGTAGACGGTTTCATACTTCATTTCAATCAACAATTAGCGCAGAGTTAAGAAATAAAAGAGGCTATTATAGATGGTAAATGCACGAACAAAATCTGTAGTAATGCGTTTTTCAAACAGACATGCAACACTACCTCCAGGAATGGAAAATTCCAAACTTTTCGTCTGTGGACCAGATCCTACTTGGTTGCGTCCAAGAACTCCAACTGTGAGTGGCTTGCAGAGTGGCAAATCCGTGAGTTCTGCACTGCGTGGCACTGTATCTAGTGTCTTCATAGAAGTCCCGTCCGACTGATACACGGTTACTTGGAAATCGTTTGTCATACATTCACCATCGTACTCCCACAGGACAATGGCGTTGACCGAGTTGGGAACTGCTATCACGCGAACAGACTTTGGAGGGCTCGGAACTGCAAGGGATTGGGAAACGTTGGGCGTCAGTAAGTCATGATATCAAGATAAACGCAATATGATCGAAATAAAATATTGTCTCCGGGCAAACGATATTTCCTTGAGTCACTTGAGTATGTAAGGACTTTTGGATATACCACTTCGTGGCCTTATTTCTTGACTTACGAATGACGACTAACTTTGTCACCACAATGATACCCCCTCCCCCTTGAATTACTGATTCCGTTTCGGAGTGGAACAAACAAGTAAGCTTCGTGAAACTATCCGTCGATTTTACTGGTGAAATGAACAAGGCCTTCGCTGCGGAGTTATTCATTAGAAAATGCCAACTGACCAGTTACAGACTGTTGAACAGGGAAGCAAAACTCTCATTTGCATCTTATTTACAAAAACTGGACATCCACCTCCTGAACGCGTCTTCTTGATCCTTCTCAGATATTCACTGACTGTTGCTCAAACCCAAGCAAATGCTACAAAGCGACTCCACAAATTTCGCAACAAATCTCCTTTTTCAAAAGACACAAAGCGAATTTACAGGAAGAAAACATACTACTCACATGCCTCCCCCATCAGTAGCCTCACCGTTACACTGGTATTCAATATATATATATATGCATAGAATCAAAATGTTAACCACACTAGTTCAGGAAGCTTGTTGGAAAATCTTCACGTGCCTTGTTTCGGACTTGTAGATGTGGCGTTGTTCTGGGTACGAAATACATGAAACTTTACAGAATTTAAGTAAATTGGAGTACACAGACCGAATAAAAAAGAGTTTATTTTGACCAAAAGACTGCAAATCAATGAGGTTTTGAACATTATTACTTGCGTATCGACAAGTAGAGATTACCTGCGGCTATGGTGATCGCGGAGCTCTTCACCTGTGAACCGGTCCCGATGCGGTTCCGTCCCATCACTCCAATCTGAATGGTCTCGCACAAAGGCAAGTTGGCGATTTCTATACTACGACCCATCGTCTCTAAAGACCTAAGGGAAGATCCATCTGCATCGTACACATTGACGTGGAAACCGGTGATTGGACACGCTCCGTCGTACTTCCATGTGACGGTTGCACTTGTTGCATTCGGAACTGTATTTATTCGGATACTCTTGGGAGAGTTAGGAACTGTAAGAGGTTGGAAAACACATTGTTCATATATCGAATGAATAGAAAAGAATCCATATAACTGAATCATCACATTACAGACTAGTGGGGCACCGTGAACAGAATGAACTCTGGTTTTCAACTACCGAGGTTAAAATGCGTACGTTACAGGTGGCAAATGACCTCATTACGAAGTGCACCCAGTGTGAGCTAAAAGTCTCTAAAAATAACGAGTTCTCGGTTAACTGTAGATCTCAAGACATCACGACTGCTTGTGAATCACTCTTGCACTCGATGAATTTAGTTCTCCAGTAAATTTACGGTACTCGAAATGAAAGCCTACGAATTCCTAAGAGTCCTCGGTAGGTGTTGTGATTCATAAAGCAGTACGACAAATAATGACTGCATTGCATTTCAAAACCAATTCAAGACCTCCTGGGCGACAGTGCTTTGTTAGCTGGTGATCGCTAGTTAGCACAATAGGATTCTACCATACTAGGTAGGTTAATCCATTTTGCACGAGACGGAAGACACACGGTTCCGCACATCAGGCCAGATGTTCATGAGGACCGATTCACTTGAACGCACATCATGAAAAAACGATTATGAAGCGTGAAAAGGGAAGTAATACAATTGCTGGTTGTTCGTAGTCACACCACTCTCGTTTGAACGGTCGTGTTCCTGTTCTGGCGTGATTATTTCGGTGAGTCCACAGCAAAGGGAAGCACTGGACTCGAGTTTTGCCCTTATTAGAGCTCATCAGCAGTGCATATCCAATGGCCGTGCCGGGACTTGAACCCCGGACATCTGACATGCGAGGCAAGCGCGTAAACACTACTCCACCAACGCACGTTGGACGCATCTGAATTATCACGTCTGAACAGGCGAACGTGTTCGCACTTGATCGATGTGATTGGTGTGTCCGACTCATCGAACGACGACCCAGTAACTGTCCTGGTTGACTACATGAATGCAAAGGTCGCTAGGGTAGTCAAATTGGGCTGTGGATAAGACAGAATTGACTGCTACGTTGAGAAATGTGTGAGGCCACGAGAAATCAACTCTACAAAGTGCTCCCGTTGACAAGCGATAGATTAGTTCAGCGTGATAGCTCTGGTAACAGTTAATACGTGCAGTGTCATTGATCCGGGATGATTGAACGACCCAGAGAATCTTCTCAGGGCGGTTGGTGTTTATCGTGGAACGCTTCCGGTACCTGGCTGCCATGTCACATGAAAGAATCACGAGGTTTGCTATTGTGCCGGATCGCCTAAGCCTAGATGGGACCAGTCGAGGAGTTGATGTTTGTCTTGAGCCACGGGTCTTCCGGTCACTTGATTCGTGCCTCAACAACTGAACTACCTCGAGCACATTGACTTGCCGCCAGTTCTAATGCTGGAACTTCTCCAAACTGACTGGATTTCCCCATCGTTCGATTAACATACTCAGCTACAGAAAAACTGTGAGTACTTTGAGCCTGGCGTTCACGCTGAAGGCTAAGTGTCATGTGCTCATCTAATCACGAGACGGAAATTTATCGCTTTGTCCCCGAATGAACAAGTTTTTTGAACAATATCCATAAAAGTTAGATTGGGAAAAAGTGCTTACCATGTAGATCCCAAACTTTGAGTGGTAATGCGCTCATGTTGCAACTGATGAAAACTTGGTGGAATAGCCGCTCATAGCTACGAATTGAAAGATTTAACTTCGATGTATATAGACAAGACATTTCAATACTTTGATGCAAGTAATAAGAAGGATTTATGGAGGCCGTTCATGCCTTCCATCAGTGGTAGGTTCAGTCCTTGGTGAGATAGAATGATAATACTATAAAGAGAAAGGGAATGAAACATTCCCTGATGAAGCACCTTCTGGGTACTCCATTACTCCAGATCTCCCTTTGTCGTGTGTGTAAGTAAAGGCACTTTAGCATTTACCTTTATTCAGGTTCTGAGGTAAAAGTATTCGAAAAACTTGACCAGAAAGGTAAAAACTCATTCCATCTAGGTGGGAAAGAGCATCCAATCAGGTCAAGCTAAAATGAAGACTCTGGAGTGGTGTCGCTGTTAGGAGGTAAGCCAAAAACTGTGTTGCTTTCAAAATGGTGCATATGCAGTTAGAGAAAACAAGAGGTAATAAGTCCAACAGCCTAAACTTTAGCAACTGGACCTGTTATATCTGCTGTTATATCTGCGTCAATCTGTGGTATCTGCTGCTGACCCGCTCCAGTGCCTAATGCCGGAGACTCACAGAAGGGAACACAACAGCTGTATTCCGAACAAGCGAGTGAGTGAGAGAGCAAAAGTTACAACGGCCCCACACTATTTAAAGGGGACTTTCTGACATTGGTCCAGGCTGTCTGATAGGTGTTAATGAAAACCCATCAACATCGATCGTGCCTCTATGGAAAGCCTGAACGCAGATCACATTCGGTCGTGCTTCTGTAGCCGCAAGAACACTCATCAGGTCTTGCTGAATTGATTGAATGATTGAGTGGCCTGGATGCTTGCCGGCTTTCCTGTTGAGATTTTGGTGAAGCAGTAGGTTCCGGATATTCTGAGGTTGATTTCAGGAATCTGACCTTCCTAATAGGGCCTATTGGCCAATCATTCGAGCGATACCTTAGAATGGAAACGAGCTATTTTCAGATAAATGGTGTACGTGTCATGGGTTTTATGCGAAAAAAAAACTAGGAGAGAAAGCTTTCACCATAAACAGCGCGTTGTGTGAAAATGAACCGAAGTGAATTGGGGCGGACAAAACAGTCGGGTAATTCATCGGAATGCTTGCAAGGTTACCTGAAGCAATAGTGAATATCGAACTTTCGGCTTGTGGACCGGATCCGAACTGGTTACGTCCAACCACTCCAACCGACAGTTCAACGCACATTGGCAGATTCTTGATTTCCACGCTGCGCCCGATTGCATCCACGGTCATCAACGATGATTCGCCCGGTTTGAGCACACTTACTTGGAAATGAGTGGTAGTGCACGCACCATTGTAGTCCCACAGCACGGTCGCATTGGGCACATTCGGCACCGTTATCGTACGAATGTTGCTGGATAAGCTGGGGACTAGGAAAAATTAAACGGACAAGTGCACTGCTTCCCGGTTGAAAAGTCACAACACTGACAATACGATCAGAAAAAACCGCATCACCGACGTCAGTTACAGTCAAGGGATACATTTCGGAAATGAAGCACACTAGGACTGAAGCCGACGCGACCTCAAATTTAGCGAAGAACTCTTACCTCTGTATCTCTATTCGGTAAAATGAAAAAGATTAGGACCGGTCGATGGCTTTGGGAGTGAAACGGGCCACTCTTTGTAGTGGCTCCATTTAGAAGGTGGACAGTATTGTACACACATGAGTGTGAATTTCGGTAAAAGGGAGCTTCACGAATAAAAGTGTCGCTTGGTTTCTATGGGACCACACACAGAAATGTTAATAAGCAGACAAAACAATATGACGCACAATCCTGTCATCCGCTACTGCAAAGCTGGACTGGCATGGGGCCTCTGAAAGATATCGCTCGGATTAAGGAAGACCACCCCTTATCATGGTGAAACTACCTGTTCTCCCTTCTTTCTCATAGTGTACGTTGCTGAATTTATTTCTATGATACCTATATTTAAGTTTTTCTGCAATATGCTCTAGAAATAGTCTAGTCCTTGATTAAAACAACTTGAAAGCGATGCAATTCATGCACTTTTTAAGT